AAGGAAGGAAGGAAGGAAGGAAGGAAGGAAGGAAGGAAGGAAGGAAGGAAGGAAGGAAGGAAGGAAGGAAGGAAGGAAGGAAGGAAGGAAGGAAGATGKCCCAGGGATGTCCCAGTGCATTTCCTGAGGGAAAATCCATTTTGCTGATGCAAAACCTTCACTCTCTTCCCTGCAGGTTTCAGCACCAGGAAGGAATTCACAACACCCGAACAAACGCCATGGCCAGGGTTTGATGTCCCTAAAGTCCCCCAGATCTACAAACCCAGCCCAGGTCTCCATTCCACGTTTTCTCCCCTCATGGAAACCTCCCTGCCTTTGCCTTGCAGCCACCAGGAATTCTGGGATTCATCCTGGCCACAGCAAACAACCCCGACCAGCTGCAAATCCGTGTTTTCCCGGCTGCCTTGGAGGAGAGCCGGGAATTTTTCCCGCTGTCCCGGTGATAATTTGTCCCTCACCAGCGCGATTTGGCTTCAGCTCCTTTTGTCACCGCAGCGGTGAATGACCCCGAGCCTCCACAAAGGATGATTAAGGATAATCATTAAAGGTAATTAAGACGTGCTGATGGATCCCTTGTTTGGTGTTCTTAATTAAAGGATTAATAAAGAACGCACCTCCAGGGGATTTCCTCTCATCCAGTTTTTTTTTTCCCCTTGGATCTCCAAAACCCGCCCTGGGATTGTCCATAAATTCTGGGCTTTCTGCTTAAAACTAAAGAGTTGAGAATATTGACCTGGGATAATCACCGATAGAATTCCGARTTTTAACACGGCAGCATCCTGCAAAAAGTCAGCATCCCCAGCAGCKGAGCAGAACTGTGTCCCTGCCTCCTCAAAAAAAATCAGGGAATAAATAGCGGAGGTGTTATGGTGTGAGAATTTCACATTTGTGAAAGCTCCTAAATAAACCTGGGCAAAAAACCCATTCCCAAAAACAGCACAGAGCCCATCAGTGACTGAAAAATCCTCCCAACCTAAGGAAAAACAACCTTAAAAATGTCCAGATAGATCAAGGCTGGAATTTTTCCCTAGCTCTGGTTCCGGCAGGAAAGCAAAAATAACTCCATGGAGAGCATCGCATGAGAGCGGGGCAGGGATCAGGCAGGAATTGCTGGAGGAAACCTGATTTTATGAGGCCAGATTGGATCTCGCCGCCTGTTTGCCTCTGGAATCATCGCTCTCTCCTGCAGCATCCAAGATAATTGCCGGGAATGGAATTACMGCAACAGGATGGCAGATTGCTGCTTCCAGGTGCAGGATAATGAGGGATAACGCAGAGAATGGGGATCCGGGCAAACAGGATTTCCAAAGGGTCTTGGGAGGAAGAGCACCGGGAAAGCTCTCCAGGAATTATCTCCCGGCAGCAGAACTTGGTGGGGTTTTCCCATCCTGTGGAGTTGGCTGCAAAAAAAAAATTCCTGGGTTTTTTAGTAAATTTTCCCTTTTGGAGATGAGTGTTCATCAGGTGCTGCTTCCCAAAGAGCCGGTGGGGYCTCATTCCTTGGATTTGTGTGGATGGGGCAGGCGGGGAGAGGGAGAGGAGGGAGAGGTGATGTGGAAGGTGGGGAGACCTGGCAGAGCAGCTCTGGAATAACTCAGAAATCCAGGGAAAGCTGGGTGGGAGCAGCGGGGAAATGCAACATCGCCCTGAGAGCTGCTTCAACTTCTGAGTCATGAAAATGTTCTTTCCTACTCCAGGAGCTCCCACACAGCGTGGACACCTTGGTTTTCCCATTCCCAACCTTATCTCACCACCTGGATTTAAAAAGCCAAAGGAATCAGTTCAGATTTTCCTGCAAATGAACTTTCTCCTTGTTCAAATCCGCCTCTGATGCTTCTCAGGGGGTTTGTCCCTCCAAATAACAGAATGATGGATTTTTCTCTGCTGAAAACAAAACTTGCTCACATTCATTGCTCCCATGTTTTGATTCCTTGAATGAGAACTAAATCCAGAGAAGCTGAATTCAAAGCTGAAAAACTTCTTCCCACTTTAACCCCCCCTCGAAAACCTTCAGAAATTGTATTTTCCAGCTTTGTTACCCTCTCAGCTCATCCAGGGTTTCCCAGGGCACCCTGAAGAGAGCACCCGAGGACCTGCTCCTATTTTGAGATTGCAAACAACCAGCCCATAAAACAATCCGCCTTTGGCCAAATATTTACTGAATTCCTTTTTTTTTTCTCCCGAAACACGTCCCAAGATCTGTAACGCTCAGGGATTTCTCGCTCGGGCTGAGCTGCTCCCGTCACACAAACACTCGTGGAAAGCAAACGCTGCTGAGTTTGCTGTCGGGTTTAAACCGGGTTTGCTGCCGGATTTAACCTGGGTTTGGTTGCTGATTTAAACCGGGTTTGCTCCCAGGCTTAACCTGGGTTTGCGACCGGATTTAAGCAACTTCAGGCACAGGAAGGTGTGCAGCTTCCTCACTGCTCACCCACCGGGCAGCGGGGTTGGGGTGGAGCTCCCAAATCCGGCTCCAGTCCCGGCCCATCCCCAAACCCAAACCCCAAGGTTTCTTTTCTGACTTTCTCCTCAGCAATCCAGGGACACCCAGGGATTTCAGGGATGTGCCAGAGCAGTGGAGAAGCGCTAATTCCAGGCTGCGGCTGCTCCCAGGCTGCGGGAGAGCTGGAACACCCCCGCTCCCGCGGTGGAAGGGGCTCGGGAACGGCTTCCCCCGCTCCAAGAAGTGCAGCAGTTCCAGAAGAGGAGCCTCGGGGAGGGAAA